ATGTGGGACTCGATCCCGGGACTCCGGGATCATGACCTGAGCCGAAGGCAGTCGCTTAACCAACTGAGCCACCCAGGCGCCCCAATAAATTAGTTTTTAAAAACTATTTTTTTTTTCCTGTGTTAGCCAGCTCACACTACTCAAACTTTAGGGTTTGGGATGAAGTGTGACCTGGTTGAAAAATAAGCCCAAATATAAGTATTTTGTTGTTTTTACTTATACCATCCTTAGCTCTTCATAGAACTTCAACTTTTAGGGTTTAATGTTATCTTAGACTCACACAATTATCTTTAAAATTACATCATGGTTCTGATTTAATAGACATAGGCAATTTTACAGTTAATTTGATAGTATAAACTACAAATAAAAAACGCCACTGACCATTTTGCCCTCCAAATTCACCTGATGATGGTTGTTAATACTTGTACTATTTATCTTCAGGAATGGAAATATTCTCATCTTCTAAATTGAAAAGCATGTCACTTACATAATTAAACTAAAAACTTGGCACCTATAACTTGTTTTTAATCAGAATGTTTAAATAATTATTGGGGTAGTAATTTTCTTTTGCTGAACATGCATTTAGTTCTTTGGAGAACATAATGTTTATTTAATGTTAAGAAAGTAGTTGTATATTTATTTTTGTAGAGCTCTAAAAATAAGGCCTAATGAAGCTACCATTGTCATTTATAAAATGATCAGGAAATGGTAATATGCTTAATAATACAGATGAAATCATTGTCTATACCCAAGAACTTCCCATTTCTATACTTCTGGTTGCTAAATTTAAAATTAAAAATCGCAAGAAACCAACTTCTACACAAAAGTACTTGTATGCACATGTTAAAAAACAAGTAGTTTGTGTTTCTTTTTGTATGCCCAAATACAACTATATTTCCTTTTTTTTAATGTGTAAGAAAAGATCTATGAAGAGTATGGATGATGTATTTAGTGAAATGGAAGTTATTTTTTAAATTGGTAATAATTTTGAAAACGTCTGTTCAAACTCGTTAGTCATGAGTACTTTATGAGCATGCTTGTTCTTATTTTTGTTATAATACTGTAGTTTGTTAATGCCCTGATAAATACCAAAGGAATACACTGAAAGATTGAAGAAATAAATTTAAACATGCAGAATGTGGTCGTGTTCAAAACTCAATGTTTAGATTTATCTTAAAATACTAATGAATTTTTAGCATAAAAAAATTTACCTTTTTCAGAGAAATAAAGAAAATATCACCTTAACTTTTAATAAAAATTAATCACTGTTTTTGACACTTATTAAAATGAAACCAGAAAAAATTATTACCTGGAGTTTAAAAACAATACCACATTTTATCGTGAGGAATTCAAGAATTTCTTTAGTATTATAGACCTCTTATTTAAAATAATAGTCTTTCAAATGACAAAACGTTATACAGAAAACAATCTGGATAGTCTCAGCAACTAAGTAGCATAAAAATAATTTATGTTTAAGAATATAATTGATAAAAGCTATATTATTAAGATAATTTAGAAAAACCCAATATTTAAAACAATATCTTAAATATTACTTTTGCAGTCATACTTACTTATGATTTCGGCTTCACATTTTAAATATCATCGCTTGTGACTTTTGTCAGCAAATAAGCATATCTTTTGGTTCGAATCAGCATAAGCAGTACAGTAGTAAAGATGTAAGGATTCATTCTTTGGAAACTCATTGATTTCTTTTTTTTTCTTTTTTTTAAAACTTTATATTATTATGTTATGTTAATCACCATACATTACATCATTAGTTTTTGATGTAGTGTTCCATGATTCATTGTTTGCATATCGCACCCTGTGCTCCATTCAATACGTGCCCTCTTTAATACCCATCACCAGGCTAACCCATCCCCCCACCCGCTCCCCTCTAGAACCCTCAGTTTGTTTCTCAGAGTCCATAGTCTCTCATGGTTCATCTCCCCCTCCGATTCCTCCCCCCTTCATTTTTCCCTTCCTACTATTTTTTTTTTTAACATATAATGTATTATTTGTTTCAGAGGTACAGGCCTGTGATTCATCAGTCTTACACAACTCACAGTGCTAACCATAGCACATACCTTCCCCAACGTCTATCACCCAGCCACCCCATCCCTCCCACCCCCATCACTGCTTTCTTGTCAATAAACATAATCAGTGCCTAAAAATTGATAATAGTCAAAAAACAAATAACCAATGAAATTTCATCTAAAATGTATTTGTGAAAATCTTTCTTTCATTTATTTAAAGGGTCATACAATAATAAATTATATTGAATGAAATGAAAAAATACATTGACATTAGAATTTTTTAAACCCTAAATCCATGAAATTTTCTAGACTCATAGGACTGTAGGGAACCATTTAATGAAGTGTCACAGTCCATCCTTCTTTCACATTACACAACATTTAGACTAGTCCATGTGTGCAAAAAATTGCTAGTTTTCTCCTTACCTAATTTTATTTTGCCTACTTTTTGAGTCATTTTGAAACTTCAATTTAACTCAATCTTAACACAAGAAAATCTAGATGTCAGAACTTTGAAACATTCCATTTGAAAAGTTGCTGACACTTTACCTAGACTTTTTTCAGTAAACCTCATTTTGAGAAAATTCTTTTGGGCATCTATGTTATTTCTATGGTGCACTTCAACTTTTCAGTTTATTAAAACTGTAGAGCATGTTTTGTTTAGACACATCTCTCCATCCCTTCATTATCTCAATCTGCCTTCTGTGAGTTTTCATAATTTGTTGAACTCAGTAGTGTGGTAAGAACATACATAAGATTCAAAATAAAACCACTTTTCCTATTGGTACACATTACTCTCGTATTTATGAATCCTTGTATATGATTTCTCTGGGATTTCTATATTCCTGTAATGTCATAAACATAACATCCATTTATCAAATAATAAAGTCCAAAAATAAGCATTATTGTACATGGCCTTTTAAACATTTCTCTCAAAGGTCCATACACCACTAAATGAATGGACATTTTTTTTCAGGATATTTTTTTCCAAGTACATATGTTAATTTCT